GTCAAGTCTCTTGACTTGAATAAAGGCGCTATATAAGAGCCGCCCGTCCTCAGCCAGAGGAGGGGGGCTGGGGGCCGGTAAGGCAGGTGGGGAGAAGCACGGGGCCGACGGTGTCCAGACTACCGTCACCGGATTGGGTTTGGTCGCTCCGTCCCCCACTGGCTCCCTTCCCCCATCCGCCGGGGTTTCCGGACCAGCCCCGGAGCTGACAGCTCTGTTCGAATGCCTGGTGTGTTCCTACTACGTGCTGCTCTGTAGTTGACCAAAGTTCTGGACGATTTTTAAATTCCCCCCGGACATTTTTTTAGGTATGAAAAGTAGGAGATGTCCAGGAAAAAGAGGACGTCTGGTCACCCTACCATACAACAATTTGATGTTTCAGTGAGTGAGTGCTTGTTGCTATGATGCATCTTTGCTCAGCAGCTTCCCTTGTTGTAAACCAACCAATCAGCGCACAGCTCATCTAAATATTGATGAGCATACCATAAAAGGAAGAAAACCTGTTGTTTCATTCTAGGGCTTTTAACCAGGCTTGCATTAGAGCTCATAGAGCAGCAAATATGCCATTTTCATCCCAACCAATGTTACACACCCTATTCAGAGACCTTAAGGACCTGCAACAAATACCCTATAAAATCATTCTATGACTCCTTTAAGTTAAAGTTGGTGTGTTACATTCACTGATCAGAAACAAATTGGAATGTTGATTCTCCAACTGAGTCAAAGTCTACAGTTGCCCAATCTGATAACCGGAATATATATATAGGTACATCTCTACAAGCAATAGTTACACTGTCTACTTCCCCTGTTATAAGGAACACCACTGACACAACTGGTGGTTGAATTTAGCCTCTGATGATCTGTTTCGGTTTTTCATGAGGTCCTGCCAAGCTGCAGAGACGACTAATGGCAGCAGAAGCAGGTTGCTTCCATCTGTCAGGTGATTCAGCAACCACCTGAGAGCTTTAAAGTTTTCCAGCTTTACACACGCGTAACCAATCTTCATAAGTTTGGCAGCGCAATCCGTCACGTGCCATTGTCACACCGGTTGCTCCTGTGCAAGTTTTTTATTATCCGAATTTTGAGCCAGGAGGCTTTAAATGACAGGTAGAGAAGCAGGTTCTACTTTCACTCAGCTCTGAGTTATGTGGCATCCAAATCCAATCAAGCCAAGAATGAGCAATGTGAAAAGACAGAGAGTGGAAACAAGAAAAAGTGACACAAACACAGACTGAAGGGGTACAGCTCCGGTCGATGCATGAAAACACTTTAACAAACAAACACGGAGTGATTTCGCAGCGTGGAGTCTTCTCCCATCAGCTGCGGGCGCCTTTCTTATCTGTCATGGCTGCGTCATGCGTTACCTTTAGATAGATTACGTGCGAATCTGCAGCTGTCAGATGCAAATGTGCTTCTATGTAGGAGCAGAGAGAAACAATAAGATGGAGGAAATGACTGAGAGGTGAGACCGTGGAATCTCAGCGGAGGAAACCTTTTTTTCATTTTCTACATTAAGCTTAATGTAAAGGTATAGTCATTTTTCATACCGTTCAAGCAAACTTTGAGGAAAAAAATGTATTGCGAAAGCTTTTATTGTATTTCTTGGTTGTTGTTTTTTTTATGTAACAAACAAAGTAATGACATCATTAACACAGTATAAAGCACAGCTAAATATAGGACTTTTTGGGGCTCATATAAGTTGCAGGACTCCTTAATAAAAAGAGAAAAACAGCTTAGGTATGTCATGCAATGCAAATTATGCTGCAGTTAAATCCAGATTCAGAAACTGGAAATTTGGTAAAAACATTCTTCTTTGGTATTTTTTAGGTTTAGATTTCTAAATTTTTTAATGTACACATTCCTGACACACCTCTAGAGGGCGCCATCATCCTCCGCCCACTTCCACTCTTCTTTTTCGTCTTTTCGTCCAGATAACGTGACTCGTGTGCGTTTCCATTGTAGTTGATACGACCCCAAAAAAAACACCCGACTATCGAAAAAGTGAGTTTTTTTTTCATTGGATATACGATGCTTTCACTAAGCAAGTTTATTTTTGTAATTACAATTTTAATACTAAATCAGCAACCTATGAGGAAGAGGACTTCAATATTAAACTTCCCAAATTTAATGATAGAAAACAAAACCAAATACAGAAACCTAAACCCGTCCTACACCCCTTCTCAAAGTAAGTGGAAGAGTCCAACTAGGCCTCCATATCAATAAGGACATCCTTTGCAGCTGGGGTCTCCTTTCCTTTACTGGCTTCACTCATGACAGCCTCCCATGAACTGACAACTCAAAAGAAAAATATATTAATGAACAGAAAACCAAACAAGCAAGAAATGACAAAGTGGGTCAACTAAATGTGTGCACCCAAATAGTTAACCAATGCCAAATCAAATAAAAAAAAAGAAATACAGTACAGTAAAATATAAGATTTAATAAAAGAATAACCAGACCATTTGTTGTGTGGTTGCACATGTGGCCGTCGCAACCAGCTTTTGGTATCGGTGTCGGCAGGTGCCAAACATTATCCTGCTAGTTGGCTGGCTTTATGAAACACAATGAACAAACGCTATTAGACGCCACGGCTCCCCAAATCCTCACTGACAGCGGAAACTTGATGCTGCACCTCAAGCAACATGGATTCCTTTACCTCGCCCCTCTTTCTTCAGACTCTGGGAGGTTGATGACCTAAAAAATGGTGAAATTAACTTAAAAGAAAAAAAAAGGGCATTATAAAAATGGCAAACAAAGGGGTTCTTCTTCTCGTACGTCCAGGTAAGGAAAGTTTGATGCCGTTTCTGATTCAGAGGTGGGATGACAAAAGAAAAGCAACGTTCGTATCCCTGATGCGGGGTTTCTTTTGTGCATAATTCCTCTTGGTGCACTGCGTCCAGCCTCACTTCACTCTTTCTAAATTAATTCTGCTTTAAAATCCTTCAACTTTTCCAGAAAAATCCTTTTACCTTCCACTCGACATGCTTAGTCGCAGCTTTCTGTGAACAACCAGCTTCTTCAGCACTTTTTTCTGTGGCTTTCTCTCCTTTGTAGAACATGGCAATGATCGTCTTCATGATGGTGCAGTCAGCACTTTTCATTATGATTTTGCAGTCATTAATGTTTTTTTTTTGATAATTGTTTTTATGTATTTTTATCTAAAATATTTAGCTGTATGTAAAGAAAACAAAAAAACAATGATTTTCATTACACAGAGATGAACTTCTAATATATAACTTTGTTTAAAACACCCTCGAATGTGTGTTTGTCTCTTTTGAGAGGCAAATATTGACGTGTTTTCCTTTGCCTTCCCTGTTTGTTTTATCAGCTGAGCTGATGTACACTGTGGAGTTGGCTGGAGGTCTGGGAGCCATCCTGCTGCTGCTCATCTGCCTTGTGACCCTCTACAAGTGCTACAGGATCGAGCTCATGCTTTTCTACCGGAACCACTTTGGCAGTGAGGATATCGACGGAGGTGAGATTTACACACGATCACCTGCGATGCTTATATAGATGAGACTGTCGATTGCGAAAGCACCTCGCGTTACTATAAAACAAAACATTTTTCTTTCCAAAAAGGAATGAAATCCCAGTCGTGACCAGTGTCGGTGTCGCTCTGCGCGGAGATTTATTTTTATTTAGAAAGCACCTGGGCTTTTTATCAAGTCATAAAGCTGCAGGTGGCTCCATTTTTATGCAAATGTGCATCGGCTCCGATGACTCATTGGCTCCAACAGAAAAGCCTTGCATAATTTTCTTCCAGTTCTCGGGTTTAGGGAATCTTCACCATCTTCTCCCACTGGAGCGGTTAAATAAAAACTGCTAAATATTCACTATGTTGTCCCCTGAAGGAGCAGGAAGCAACTCACCAACCACCAACTGATACAGAATAAAGCTTCAGCATTCAGCATATGCACATCGTATTGCTTGCTTAAAGGAAACAGATGCAGATCTTTAAAAAAATAATAATTCTTTAAATGACTGAAAAACATTATGGTAGCACAAATTCTGTGATTCTTGAGCAAAAAAACTCAAAGTTTAGAAAATAAACTTTTGCTGTAGGGGATAGGCAATATATTTCGCTAAATACTCACTATAAAGCAAATCAAAACACTGCCCCTGTGCAAGACAAAAAACATTAACTCTCAGACCTCATCAGTAGTGGTGAAATAATCCCTTTGATTGGACCTGGTGGATGAGTCTTAGCTTGAGAATACATCAAACCGAGACAAGGAGCAAGTTTTAATTTGATTCCCCTGTAATGAGTCTCTGTAGTACCAGCGCTGCAATGAATTCAGGGGGAATGAGATTAGTTCAGAGGCTGCAAGGTTTTGCAAAGTGGTGAAGAAGGAGCTGGAGAGTTATATTTGTTAAAAGGGAAAACAATTTGTGACATTTGATTGAACGTCATTACCTCTGGCTTTGCTGGATCTCCAGCCACCAATACGGGGATCTTCGAGGCCTTAAACTTAAAGCCAAACAATTGCTGAGTATAAGTGGGCCACTGGAATGAGTGCTTAGAAAGGCAGGAACAGATTTTCAATTTTTTTCCTTAGAAAAAGGGGCTCGGGTCCAATATCGTGCAGCTTTCTGCCTCTGGAGCTCTCAGGAGATGCTTGGTGCTGAGCTGTGTGCCGTGGTCTGTTAGATCTTAACAATGCCACCACAAAGGAGGAGGGTTCCACTAATGGCTTCCTGTAGATAAGTGCAAAGGTTCAAATGGGAGTCTTGGATCTTACAGCATTGATACGGATCACCAAGCTCTAGTTACTGGATTTTTCAAAAGTTTCACTTTTTTCCCTGCTGCAGCTGGAACTTTGATTTAGTAGAATTTATCTTCTAGACCAACAAAACATATTTAGCTAAATTTATCGTTCAACTATCCCTTATCATGATACTCCCACCATCGTATGTCAGAGCTCCTTCATCTAAGCGTTCATTGTTTCCAATTCATTGCTTATTTTATACTCTAAGCAGGATTTTTTATTTCCTTTCAACACCAGCCTTTTCCAATTTTGGCTCCGAATATGAGAGCTGCATAATGGAAACATATGAGATATGTTTGCAGAGACGAAACAATAAAGTCTTTAGTGGCTCAAGTGCACCGAGATGTGGTTTTCTCCTGCAAAGACGCCGCACAAGCTGCCAAGAATATGCCAGCGTTTGATGGCGGCCACTCCACGCGCTAATTGAACGCCCTCCTCTGCCAGATGTAAAATTGTAAGCTGTACGTAACAATAGGATGGACTGTCAGCTATTTGTCAGCGATGCAATTTAGTTAAAGAGCGCTCACTTGTCAGATTGAGTGGGTGTCACCAGAATCAATAATAGGCTTCATGATGACAACGGGCGAGCTGGGCTTGACAAAGAGGTGGGAGCTCATCAACACAGTGCCATAAATACGAATGTCATCGTTGTCAAGGCAGCAAGGACTGATGAAGCTCTTGTGGTGTTGAGAGTGGTTTGGAGATGCTGAACATTAATAGCCTGTGTTGCACACATGGCCAATTTCATGCATATTTACTCTACTAATTTATTTTACTGTTTGATATAAATATGTGTCTGTTTTTCTCCACAAAAAAATAGTTTGGACACGGCTGATTATGGCCGCTGGAGGTCAAGATAATTCAATGTTTCTACAGGTCTAAATAAAGGCTATTCAACGAAATTTCTCAGGGTCTTATAGTTAATGAAAGCCAAAGGCTCCGGGACTAGATGTTTAATAATTAAAACCATTATTGACCAAAATGTTTGGATTAAAGTGACCCATTACCTTTCAAATGTGTTAATTTTAGTGTATTTCATCTAAAATGGAATAAAAAACAACCTACATGCTTAATTTGACAAATCATTACATCTCTGCATTTATTTTATTCTGTAAAAGTAATAGTATTTCAATATAAACTAAAACTGAAAACAAAAATAATGTATTTTCCTTTCCTTTTAACCTGGAAAAAATATTCTAGTATCTCTGATTAATCTCATTTTGAGGCATCTGGGGAGAAATGCAATAGTGGTTTCAGTTATTTGAATCACACAGTTATTGAACCTGCATTTAGTTATGTAACTTGTTCGCATCGAATTAGGGCTGAAACAATGAAGCAGATTAAAAGTGAAATATTAGCGCAATCTTTCCAATAAAGATGAGTGTGGCTCTTGGTTCAGAAGCATCCAAGTTAGACTCACTTCAGCTCTGTCAGTTGTTTTTTAATGTGACCATGCAATCCAACAAACTTTCTTTCCTCTTGATCAGACGCTTTATTTTCCAAATTCAAAACAAACTTAGATTTTCTTACCGCAACATGACGTGACAGGCAGATCATATCGCCTCATTTCGTTCCTTTTTGCCACTCAAAAAACAACAATAATTAAAAGCGGTCAAAAACTTTATGGCTGCGCTGACTGAATCCAAGAGCTCACCCGGCCCCAATAGCCAACTCCAATATAATCCAGGTGCTGAAGTCACCTGTCCATAATGAAGGGGCGGAGGCGAGAAACAGTGTAAATTATGCATGGCAGCAAAACACATCTAAACAAATTCATAATTTCATAATTAAGTCAGTCAACTCATACTTCAAACCAAAATAGTTCATGTTCATATATATCATACCAAAACCAAACAAAAATAGTAAACTAGAAATAAATATTCAATCATAAATCAAGCATTTGGCTCCAACATGATTAATCAATAATTGAAATATTCATCAGCTAAAGCTTAGAGACTCTAAAACGTGTCTTTAGCTGACAGAGCGACCCAGTTAGAGCAGCAGCTTTACCAAAATTGTAAAAAAAAAAAAAAAAANATATTCTAGTATCTCTGATTAATCTCATTTTGAGGCATCTGGGAAGAAAGGCAGTAGTGGTTTCAGTTATTTGAATCACACAGTTATTGAACCTGGATTTAGTAATGTAACGTGTTTACATCGAATAATAGTCAGCTAAAGCTTAGAGGCTCTAAAAACATGTCTTTAGCTGACAGAGCAACCTACTTAAAGCAGCAGTTTTACCAAAATTGTAAAAAAAAAAAAATTATAAAAAATAAATAGATAAAATGTGTAAACATTTTGTTATTAATGTAAAATACATTTTTTTGTTTGTCAATATTGTCTATCCAGCACTCCTCCAGTGGAAAAGCTTTATTTTCACTTGGTTAAATTTTGCAAAAAGTCTTCTTTAAGGAACCTTTTGCTATCTGATTATTAATCGAGTAATTTAAAAAAAATAAACAGATTAATCAATTTGCAAAATAATCGTTACTTGCAGCCTTACATCGAACACGATTCCAGTTACAAAGGTGCTGATTTTCAAAGACTTCATATGAGCGGTGCTCAAATGTGGGCGTTGCAGGAAATCTATAAAGATTGCTGCAAACATTTTAACACCAATTTTGTTTCTCCATTTAAAATAAGCAGATTGTATGTTCTAGAGGCAGTTTGACAGTGATTTTAAAAGAAATATGATGTTGATGATGGGAAATGATTAAAAAAAAAATCATAATGAAGGGTCTAAATAATATTCATATTGCACCTTGAGCCCATCTCAAAGTGCAAGAACATAAAACAGGGCTTCAGGTTGCAAAGACATGCATACTCCTAAATCCCATGTCTCTCTGCAGGCTGTCCGTTTTTTTTTTTGTTTTTTTTTTATCATTATCATTTTTTCATTATGGTTCCTTTGTATACAGATTGTCTCCAGTCCAGCTGCATTAACGTGTGTCACCTGTGAAGTTGTTTTTTTTTTTTTATGTTTGACTTTATTCCATTAGGCCTATTGATAATTTTGACGGTGCATGAAACTACTCTCTCATTCTTGCACGTCAGTTTTCACCTGAATTTAGAGAAGTACTAAAAAAGATGCAAACTGCAGTTCATTTTCCACTTTGGGAACGGTAAATGTATTCCTTTTTCACATCATCCACCTATTATTTTGCTGTTTTGATCATTTGCATATTTATGAAGGCAAACAACCAAAAAAAGATTAACATGCGATGTCTGTTGAATTGCAACCATAAATCACTTTACACCTTCGTTGCAGATCTGAGCATACAAACACATTTGCACTCGTTTTAAAACACACAAACCTTATGAAGTTCAGGCCCATTTAGGTTCAACAGACAAACAGCAATGAGAATATGTATGATTTTTTTTTAACACTTTACATGCAGGTTGCCATTCGAAATCACCACAAACTGAAGGGAAATACATTCAGTTAATTTACCTCCAGCCAAAACATTCATACAGACACTAATAGAAAGTTAATATGCTAGTTGTAATAGCAGCTCATAGACAGCTAACCTCTTATGTAGCAACGCTGCAACTGTATCAAGTATTAATGAATCAAATATTGTAACTGGAATACAATTGTATGAAAACACCATAATATAGGCAAAAAAAAAAAATCCACAGACATTTAATTTGTACCATAAATGGCATTTTTTACAGTGGTCAAAAGATGCAAACGCACAGCAAATAACGAGCTGCAGAAACAAAATGTATGTGATCCAGGAACTCCATAGCATGCAAGCAAGGAAAAAACAAATGCATCAGTAAGAAAACACTTCAAAAAACGCTGCAATCCCTGAAAATAAAAGTAAAAATATAAAATCAAGAAAACAAATGCAGACAAAACATTTTGCAATCAAAAACTATATATTCCAGTAACAAAATATATATATATTTTTTTGTTTGTTTGTTTATTTATTTTTTCAAGTCTGCAGGAAAAATTGAGAAATTGGAAGTGAAAGATAATTAGAAAATGAATGTATTAGTTCTGCTGTATAATGCAAAAGTGATGGATTAAAAGGAGAAAAACTAGAACACTTTCCAGCATTTGCACAACTAAAACATTGCTTCACTTTTATTTGTAAACGGATTCTTTTTTAATGAGCTGTCAAGTCTATGTTCAGTATTTTTGCACTTGCAAAGACTAATTTCTCTCCTTTGTGTTTGGATGACGTAAAAACAAAGCGAGCAGCAATTGTTGCTTTTCTCCTGCAAATAAAAAAACATTGTTTAGAAACAGAAACAAGTAAATGTTTTGTAAATCAACATCTCCTTATCAAGGTATCATTGATGTTTTATAATATATGAAATGTGCAATTGGAATACGGTTCTGCCATAACTTCATGATTCATTACTAAAACAGTTTTTTATTGTTTTTCTCCAATCAGATGAAAAGCAATATTATTTGGGTACAATTAAAGTTATAGTGGAGGATTTTTGCAAATTTTTCTCCACTTTGAAAAATAAAATGCACATGCACAACCCTGTACTCGCTCCTGAGAGGGAATGCCTATAAATCGCGTGTGAGAGCATGCACAAGCCCATTTCTCCTCGTGCACGCTCTGTATAAACGTTGCAGTTTGCATCACGCATACAAGCCTACTTTCCAAAAGATTTGCAATTATCACCAGTAAGTGAAAACTGGGACGAGTATGTAGGACGGCCTTACCTAAACATATCACCAGAATGATTAACAATTAGAGGACCTCTTATTTTGATGATTTCCACTATACCTTTAATAATAGAAAAGAAATAATTAGATTGGAAATAAAAAAAAACTTCCACAAACTATCTGCAAGCTCTGCATCTTTTAAGTTGCCACCATCTTCATAAAATTTCATGGATTTAAGAGATATCACAGCAGAAATGTACTCCTCCAACTTTTCTGACATTCTTCACTGGGAGTTCAACAGCTCACCATGTAACTGTGGGCCTTCTGTGCTCATGCACACACCCGGATCACACGTGTAAGGCGTCGGAGAAGCCGCACGCTTTCCACGGTGCAAAAAGACGTGGGTTGGGTTTTGTAGGTAGATCCCTCAGCTTTCTCTGAGAGTGACTTCTCTAGAGGGAAATGAGAGGAGGAGGAGGGGTCAGCCTTTCTCTCCTCTCTGTTTTTCTCTACCGATGAGTGAATCACCTCCCCCTAAAATAGGCCTTGATCTGCCTACACAGCATTTGTTTAAATGCTAGCAAAGAAAAAAAACATAGACAGAGATTTATGCCTTGGAGTTAGTTATACTAAGAAAGGTTACATTTCAATTATTTTTACATGTCCCCGATGCTGTAAAATGAATTGCACGTTATAAAAACAAGATAGATTCATTATGAGGCGTCATGTAAGAGTGCAGTGCAATTGCCAAATATCAAGATTACCCTCTGGGAAGTAAGTGAATCTTGTTGACACTCTCACAGCTCCTAAGAGAGGCTGAAGTGTAAAATGAAAGGATATTAACAGGCAAAATGGAAATGCTGCTCTGATCATCCTCCCTCCACAAGCATCTGCTCTAGTAAAATGCACGTTGCTTGTCCAATAAAGCAATAGAACAAAAGTTCCAAAATATATCCTCATAGTTAAAGGACATATAGTTTAGAGTGATCTTACCATTTTTCTTTCTTTTTTTTGGCTAGCCAGATGTGAATATATCTGGTTAAGCTTTTGCATGATTGGGACCATTGTGATCTTCCTGAGTAATAGAACTAATTTTTCCTATTCCAATCATAAAGGATTGGTCTCCTGCGTGTTTTAGATGTGTCTCTACTCAGACACAGCTGATCTGAATGTGGACCCAAGGTAATGAATCATGAAGCAAAAAAATGGAGCCCTAGAAGTGTTACAGTTCTAGCCCTCAACTACAATTGGACAGTATTTGCCTAGCTATTATAGTTTTGTTTTTTGCATGTAAAGTTTTGTCTTAAAAGTTACCTTGCACTATTAATGTACCTTATAACTGTGCATTAATAGCACAAATATGGTCCGAATATCTGCAGATCTGCTCAGGTCAACTACTTTATTGTTGTAGACAAAACTAATAAAAAACATTACTCTGCATCCAAATGTAAAGGTCTTTGAAGCTTTTCAAATTTTTGCAAAATACCTCAATAGTTGCATTCTTTTAATGCTACACGGTGCAGATATTCAGTCTGCACACATGAAGCTCCACTCACCTCAGGATTTTGAATTCTTGAATTAACTGTTTCCTTGGCCTAATATATCATCGAATTGGCTAATACCATGCCATACCAACTTTATTTATGAAGCACTTTATGCACCGGACAGGACCAAAGTGCTGTACACAATCATAAAATACAGTATAATTATAAAATAGAAAAAAAACAGAATGAAACAAAGTAAAACCTCTTAAATCGTGCCAAAAGTCTTAAGAAGGGACTTCAAAGTAATAAGTAAATTAGTGCGTTAAATTTCATCTCCATATTAAATATTTGAATATTGAAAACAACACAGCTATAATTTCAAAATAAACTAAATAGAAGGCTGTGAATTTACACCTTTAATCCAATTGCAAACACACTATTCAAATCAGAAGAAACAGATTTAATTTTCCACAAAATGCACCTCGTTTCTTCGCATTTCTCCTGGCTACAGAAACCTTTCCCTTGCTTCTTGTCATTACTTCTACTGAGCTCTTACAACAAGGAATGGTGCAAACAACCCTTCCATGTGTATATATCCTTATTCAAATGGCATATATGTTTTATTTTTTGTTTTTTGCTTTTATGTATTCTATATATTACCTAAAAATACATAATTTTCATAAATAATTGCTATTAGAGGACTGATTTTGTGGTTAGGGTTAAACATGAATGGAGCTAAATATGAGATGACCTTAGAGGCTGTTAAAAACTTTTTTTTAAAGTGGAGGATGTATGGATCTAAGTACCTTTGAGGAGCATCAGATGCCAGCATTTTCAAACATTAGAATGGCCTAGTCAAAGTCCTTTTGGACATTCACTCTAACCAGTCTGACTGAGCTAGAGCCTTTTTATAAAACAGTATAAGAAATAGTTTTAGCTGATGTAAAAAGAAATAGGTGCACAGTGTATAATTTTGTTTTTAAACAATGCATATATTGTCTTGTACAACTTTGTGTATTTAAAATGCCATCAAATTAATGTATATATGTTTAAGTTTGCTTTTGTACCCTGAATATGGGAAGTGTTCATGGATTTAAATATGTTTATAGCCTTTGTATTCTTTAAAACTCTAGTTGATTTACAAACCTAATTGTGCTGTTGAAATAGGTGAGCATGTTCAGAGTTGTGGCTGACAAGCTTGAAGTGATTTGGTTGTTTTGTTTTGGAGCCAGAAGCTATTATCTGCGTTCCAATAGAAGCTCTGGGATATCTCGCCATCCTCCATTCTCCTGATTTATTTTACTGTTGTGCTTTAAGCTTAAGAAGACACATAAACTCTTCCTTCCCAGCTCACTTTCCATCTCCCAGCTCACTACTTTCAAATCCATCATCAATCTCTGCTTTCATGTGTGTGATGGAGCAGCGCCACGCGACGGGGCTGAGCAGGCGGAGCTGGGCGTTTAGCTCAAGCTTGGAGTCTAATTTGTTTTGCCTGCAGAGGGCACAATCGCTATCAAGGTAACATGATTTGTCAGTAGGGAGGTAGCTGTAATGAAAAGCGCTCAGATGGGCTGAGGTGCCCAGAGGTCAGTAGGAGAGGCGTCCTGTCTCCATTAGGCCTCCCAGTGAATGAATAGACCTGTCTGCACCAGTATGAAAACAGATGATGAGCATCTGAGGTGGAACAGAGTGTATTTATGGGGTAGTTTGAAGAGTATAAAAACAATAAAATTTCTCCAACTAGGTATAAGTCAATGTTCTTCTATCCGGTTGCAGAAAACAAGGACTACGACGCGTACCTGTCCTACACCAAAGTGGACCCGGACCAATGGAGCCAGGAGACCAGAGAGGAGGAGCGCTTTGCCCTGGAGATCCTCCCTGACGTCCTGGAGAAGCATTATGGGTATAAACTCTTCATTCCAGACAGGGACTTGATCCCCACAGGAAGTAAGCTCTCTCTCATGGCGATGTCAAGTTGTGTCCAATGTCTTGTGGCTTGGTGTTGCTTGTGTAGCTGTTGTCAGTGCAGTGGTGATGCCGTGTTTTGTTGGCCTCTGTTATGCATTTTGTGCCGTTGCATAACACAGACACGAAGGAGCACAATCGCTTTTGTTTTTCATCACTCTGAATTTAGCTTTTCTAACTAAACTGGGTACAGTTGCTTCAATCAATGTCCGTTTTAAGTAAAAATACTTGAAAGTAATCACCTTTTTAAATTATTCTTGTATTAATTAAAATTAAACTAAACATGGATGTATTTGATAATAAATTTCAGCTTTCTGAGCACTTCTCATTTTGCAGAGGAAGTTAAGCATTTATGATTATAAAGGTTTAAAAAATGTATTTTGGGTATTAAAATCTAAAAGCCCCAATAATATCCCATTAAACAATAGATGGATAAAATGTTTTGAGTGTATATTTACCATTATGTAATATGAGGCACAGGAATAATGAAATATGTTTTATTTTAATTATTTGATGACACAACTGTGTGTATGACCTATATGAAGTGTACTTCATATAGGTCCGAGATAGGAGCATAAAATGTTATAGAGTCAGTGTTTTTTTTTTGCTTTTTTCAGTTTTTTATTTCTTTATCAATCTATTATTTTTGATTTTATTATATTTTTATCTTTCATCTTATTATTAGCTGATATTTTCTGCTTTATGAAAAGCATGTTCAACATGTTTCAAAAGACTGACTTTAAGTCTGGAACAGGTCTTTTTGAATATTCTGGTTAGATTCTAGAAACTTCATGTTTAAATACGTTTTGTTTTATTCATTTATTTTATTTGTTTTAATTTGCTTTATTTGTTTTCTTATATTCTAAAGTGTAATTATTTTTCTTTCTGTAATAATTTACATATTTTAAAAATGAATTCTACTTTTTTTTAAATCACATTAGTAAGAAAAACCTTGCCAGTTGTCAGCATGAACTCAAACTAATAATAGAATTAAAAGACTTATCCCAATTTATAACTTATAAACTATATAGCAGAGAATTTGAAAAAAAAGTACAAAAATTAACTTAAGAAAAGCTAGTGAAGAACTAAAATGCTGCACATGTGTCATAATAAAAATTTGTAGAGAAGCATACAACTAAATACTCGATACCACTATACTGATCACAACACAAAACTTAGACCTATTGATTATATATCACACAATAACAAGATAGAGCATAATTTAAGCAGCAGAGACAGAAAAAATAATAATAAAAAAAAAGGAAAATCTTGTTTTTCTTTTCTCAGTTTAAACTTAAAATGTCCTCACTGATCACGGTGATGCTGCAACCCTGATGTCATATTGTTACATCAATAAATCCTTTTCCCCTCAACCACATCAAAGGTGCTGCATTTTCATCAGGTCCTAATTCACAATAATCTAATAATGCCTCAAAAAGTAATATTTGTGACAACAAATCTATAAAATTTATTACACTAGTTAGTAAATCCAAATATCGGTTCTCACATTTTGTAGCTTATCAGTCACATTTAAGCATACATTTTTTCATCTGTTTTAGTTGTTTTTGTCTTTTTTCTATGAGATGTTAACCTCAGCATGAAAACAATACATTTTGGAGGTTTTACTGATTTTTTGAATGTTTTCTTTTTAATTCCAACAGTCCAACATTTAAAAAAGAGTTCAGAGTGTATAGATGCATCCATTCTAATCTTCATAATTTGGCTTCAGGTTTCAGGGAAACCACTAGTTGTTATAAAGAAGCGTTATGAGATTTGATCTCTCTTCTTGGCAGAATTCTTAGACCTCATTTAAATGTTTTGGTCCCTGCAGCTAATTCTTCTTTTGAGCATATTTTCAACTTGGCAGAGGTCAGGCCCATTTTACCAGCTTTATGTTGGCCCTTTTTATCCAGGCTATTTCAGATTTTTCTTTTCTTTTAATGGTGAGAAGTTTTTGAAATCAACCACTACCAAATCATATAACATGATTGGGCTAAGCTAACTGGTGTGCCTTTTGATTGAATTAAAAAAAAAGAATATTACAGTTATTATGAATTAGGTTCAAAATGCAGAACAGAGGGAAAAAAATCTATTAAATCTAATTAAAAAAAATTTTTTCTTAAAATAAGTGCATTTTGTCTTGAATTGAGGAGGTAAGTGAGACACTTTAACACTTTAAATTATTGCAATTTCTTATTTCAAGTGCATAGCATTTACCTTAAATCCTCTAATACAGGACAGGGCCTTTATTTCACTCTGGTACATCTTGGTCCAGGCCATTATTGGAAGGAGGCCAGAATTAGAGGCAGGTCTATTTTCTTTTTGATCAAAACAGACTACCAGTGGAATGAATAAAAACGAGATTTTGTATCTCTTCGAACACATTCATTTATTTTTTTATTTTTCATTTATTGAAAAAGTACAGTTACCTTAACGGTATACAGAACATTATTCAGACATCTTCCAGCAGCTGCAATTTTCTGCACGGCAATACAAAAAAAAAAAAAAAAAAAGACAGAATGGAATTGTTTTTGCAGTAAACCAGTGTAGATGAGTATTTGTGTCATTACAAATCTAATTTATGTCCAAGTTCAAATATCTAGTTGGAAATAAAGGAGGAAGACATTCTCCTTTAATATTTTATTTGCTTTAAAAGAACCAATGAAAGATATCCTCAGCATGATGGGTACTTCCACCATGCTTAACAGCTGGTGTGGTTTTAAAAGTCCCACCATGGATCCTGCCTCTCCTTGGATTCTGAAATCAGTAGACTTCTGGTTTGTAAATGTGAGTTCTTTTATGTTTCTATAGAGCTTGAAAGTGTCCCTATTGGAGTAGGACCTTCTTTAGTGGTTTGAATGGAACTAGTTTGATCAGAGTATTCGAAGTTGGATGCAGTTGGGTTTTCATACAAAACATCCAAACCGTCTGGACGGAAATTAAGAAAGCCGACATTAAGCCTGATTCCAATTCCTTCTCCCAGCCAAATTGAAAAGCTGTGAAATATGCCCCATACTTGGAGCAAGAGAAAATTACTGAACTCAACAGATTCTTCCAATTCTGTCTGGATTCTCTTTGACGAATAAAACTTTTAATAGAAATGTGCTAAAACACAGTGAATAAAACATTAGAGAGGGTTTATGTATGTTTTTGAGTCTCTATGTGTAATTTTGACACTGTTCAGATCAAAGAAAATGCAGAAAATGTTGATCTAGTTTGTTAGTTTTTAGATTCATTTTGTTGTATCACCACTTAACTTTTGTTATAGAATGGAATAAAAGCCTTATTGAAATCCTAAAATGAAGAAATAGTGTTCCCGTGATGAATGTACAGAAATTTCTGATCAGTCGGATGCATTTCTTTGCATTTTGCAAAAATAAAAATTTAGTTGAAACAAAATGCAGCACTCACTGTCAAAGATTATTTAAAAAGCAATGAAATGTAAGTGTGCAGTAGGAAACTTTAGGCGTGTTAGACCCAAGTAACCCTTATTACCTTTGAATGCTAATCAACAGAAGGTGCAATCCTGTTGATTACAGTCCATTTCCGTGATCTGGCTCTGCAAAGACTCTGTCTCTGCATGCTGCTATGTAATGGTGTCAGCTGCACATTACAAAATCTCTTTATGCATGGATATTAGTGCATGTTTTACCATAGCCCATTCCTAATGGAGCATCTCACCATGGCCCGTGCTTATCTTTGATTAACTCAATACACAGATGAGTTTGATAATATCATTATGCTGTTAGCCTCCATTTCAATACTTGCATCTGCCTGTCTTTTTTCGCACATGCTGCCATTACTAAATCGGCGATCCGTCAGTGGCATTGTGCCAGGGTTATAAGCTGAATCTGTTTCTGTGATGATGTGCTCGCAAACCGGAGGGGACTGCTGTAATATGGGAGAAATGGCATAGAAATGCAAGGATCGAGAGGAATCTCAGCTACAGCTGCCACCATTTCAGCTTAGTGTCGCTGTTTACTGGTTTATTGTTACTATGCATAAGCACTTAGCTCCCATTGGGAGTGTATTAGCATCTGAACCATTCATATGACACTCTAGAGGCAGAGTGATGCATAAACAGAGTTTGGTCTTCTGGGGGTTCAGCATGTGTCAACAATCCAAAGTTTGGTTTTAGTGACATGTCACTCCACAACATGATGGATTATTTTAGTAGGATTGAGGAAAATTTAACATTTGGATCTGTTGTGCAGTGGATCTCAAATGTCCACAAATTCATACAGAATTTAAAGTCTTTGGTAATGTAAAAATACTTGAAGAAGTAGTTTTTTTCCACATATAATCTAAGATTTGTCCTGTAGATTTATTAGGATTAGATTTATAAGGAAGGATGCAAAAGAAATGATTACCGGTAGGCTTTTTATGTACAAGCAGTGACACTGTCAAATAAAAGTCAGATTACTAAAACTAGAAAACTAATCAGAGAGGTTTTCCGGAGACCAATAGCTTCAGAAAATGGCCCTTTACACAGCGTTTAATTTTAATAAAGCTTAAAGGGTATAAGAAAAATATAATTGATGATCAGAAAATCCATTTTCCAAATGACAAAGTTGTCTACTTTGTATTTAATTCTAAAAATATCTTTTTTACCAAATTACATTTTGATTTGAGCATATTACTTCTATTTATTTTTGATTAATAACGTATTTATAAACACAGTAAAAATATATATATATATATATATATTTCCACACCCCAAATACTTAAAAATTTTCATGTTGAATCAGGCTTCTGCTTTTTTGTTGTTTTGATTTTAAACCATGTTTAAAATCTAGTAAAAATAAACTTCTGCCTCACAGTTTTCGCTACTTTACGCTTTTATTTCACTGAAATCATCCAGATGAGGCTAAAATCTTAAAGAATGTTTTTGGTTTTAAAAGTTAAAAAGGAAAGTTAAGCTTTAATTTATTATATATTTTGCACATACACAGCATTAAAAAAATCTGAATGAAAGAACACCATACCCATAGTGAAATATGGTAGTGGCAGTATCATGCTGCGGGGCTAGTTTTCTTTAGGGGGGCTGAGGTTGCAGTTCTAAAATAGTCAGTTTTTACCCCAAACCTGCAAGTGTTTGCTGGAAGAGATCAGAATTTAAATGACATAGAAAATAGATTTAAAGAGATGGATTTGTTCCTAATAACATATTTGTTTAGGCTTTTTATTTTAGTTGACTTGTACAGGATAAGTCTCATATATGTGGAAATGTGAAAACCATTAATCATGGTTTGTGGACACTTTTCAGAGCCTCTGTACCTTTAACATTCCTTAAAGCGTCACAAGTCCAGGATAAACTCCCACCAACTGAATTCCTCTCCTTATTTTTATGCCTCATGTCCCATATTAAACTGGAATAAACTGGTCAGTGCGATTTTCACCCAATCGCCACAATCGATGCTTCACTTGATAAACACAGTTTATGCCAATGCGTCCCCACATTTCCGTAACTGTTTTCACCTGCTCACAAATCTTCTGATCACGCTTTAAATGTAAATATCTATTGTTTAGGTTTCACCAATGATCATTTCCAGGATGACACACGACTACTTAGAGGTACTTTTTTTTTCACCGCAAATTCCTCAAACATGTGTTGATAAACACAGACTCTGACGTGTGGCTAAGATTTTGATGAAGCATGTAAAAAAAAACAAAAAAAAAAAAACGGGAAATCTGTTTTTGTCTGCTTTCAACATGCCTTATATGAAGTTGATGAAATTATTTTCTTGTTTCAAGCAAAGTATTTTCCAGAAAAGAAGGATATTCCCTGAAAAATTCAACCAATTAATGACCATCTGGGGTTTTTTGCAGGTTTTGTGATGAAGATTGTGGTTCTAAAACCAACAGGAAATTAATCAATTTTACTGTTAATTTTTGTTTTATGCATCTTACCATATTTTAATTGTGATAAAACCAACCTAAAGTGCTTCAGGGAACAGAGTCGCCCCTTGAAGCCATATTTTATTCAGTCTCAGTTTGTGTTTATTAAAAAGGGGTGTTTTGCCAAGTTTCTAATTTTTTTTAATTTTCAACACTTAACATCCTCAAAGTTACATATGAGGATCTGAACAATAATCAAAGGAATAAAGGAATGAAAAGTAGAAAGTTTTTAGTTTTTGGTCTGAGTAACTCATGAAATTTGAATAAAATACA